TGCTGATATTTTTTGCTGTGTTTTAAATGCAAATGTGATTGTTGACAAAAATGCAAATGTGATTAGTGATTACATCTGCAGTAGTTAGACTAAACTAAATAATAATAAAAGTCAAAGAAGTACAACCAGTGGCAATATCGAAAATATCTCAATTTCAAAGCCCTATTTCCCACTTTCTATTCCATAAGAAGGCGTGAAGGTGAAGAAAAACTCAGAAGCGTAACGTTTTTACTTTAAATTAAGACCAAACACAAACGCACAAATATGTCTGAGAAACTGCGACTACAAGAGAATCTTCTTTCTTAGTGAATAATTAGGGTTTCTTGATTATAAAGAATCCATGGGGTTACAGTTGGATAACTTGGTGGAGACGATAAAGTCAAAGGTGAGTTCGTTGAGGAAGAAGAAGAAGAAACCTTACATCAAAATGGACAAAAGCTCGAGCGTTAGGGTTGAGATCCGTCGTAAGAAGACAAGAGATCTCATCGACAAGACCTTGAAGGTCGCTGATCGTCCTGGCAAACGAACACTTTTCTGAATCATTTGTCTCTTTTTTTTTTTTATCATTTCCACAGGATCATTTTGTAAGCTGTTTATGTGATTTTTTGTTCTGTAATATTGGTGGGTTTGATTCAGGAGATCAAGTTTGTGATACTACATGTATAGTTTCTTGAAATAAATAAAAGAAAAAACAGTATATGATAATTTATTCAATGATTGGTAGATGAAAAGATATATAAAGATACGATATGAATGATTTAAAGTGTTGATTTGCTGTCTTTTCTTTTTCATAACTTTTTGAGCAACTTTTTCCCAATAGTCTTAAAAACCCTAGAATTTTTAGTTTGACAAGTGGTACGGTGTTAATCCAAAAAGAGTCCGGTTTAGAGTGCAATATCGGTTAGGTTTAAACCGACCAGATTTTGTTGGAAAATAGAAAAGAGTTTCATTATATAAACTCACAAATCATCTTCTACACTTGCAAACTGAGACATTAAAAAAAGATTAGAGGCAATCCACACCTAAAATATGAAGCTTTTAAGAAGCCAACAAAGCTTCAACTTTTGCAATCTGTTCTTCCTCGTTGGCTCTAGCTGGACTCTTATTCGCCTCTTCGAACAAATCATGGCCCCATTTCTTCTCATCCTTTGTCCAGCTTCCATGAAACCCACTTCGCCCATCGCCGCTGAATCTGTCTCTGTCAGCTCGATAACTCTGTCTGCTTCCCGCACCTCTTTCGTCATCCCTGTTCCACATTCTGTCTCTTCCCATTGCTGGTCTCTCTGAATGCAAATTGCTCCTCCAAGTTCTTTCGTTCTGTCGGCGGTTGTTTAGATTTGTGTCTTTTGCCTCCTCAGTTCTTGTTCTGTCTCTGTTGTTCCCAATTTCCTCTGGAATCTTCTTCTCCCTGAAGGCCGGTCGTTTCCTAGAGAGTGCTCCTTTAGTATCGTCACTCTCATGGAACCTATCATGTCGCCATGTGCTTTTGTCTTCGTCTTTACGATGCTGCGACTTCTCATTATATCCAGCTCTGCTGCGGTTACTCTGATCTCTTGAGCTTCTCCACGATCCTCTCTCTTCAAACATTTGAAAGCAAGTAATATGTTCATTTAAAAGCTAAAGATATATCGACTGAAGAAGCAGAAAAAGAGTAAATTTTGGGGAGAATTACCAGAAGTTGCTTTTCTGTCATCTTTCCCATCACTACGACGATCATCATACTGTTATAAGACATGCACAGGCAAGCCAAAGATTACATATATCTGAGCATTGGAAGGCATTCATATTAAAAGTTTAAGCTTCTTTCATGGGCAATGGGACTCAAAAACTTCTAAAATCTCCCATGACTAAACATCTACTTCATTGATAGTAACACAGAACAAAGAATATCAGGACAGAACCAAAAAGAAAGTTTTCAGATGGAAACATTGAGCTCTTCGAACCTGATGATATGGTCTAGAACGAGTTCCTTCTGACAGATGAGAAGCTTGTTTGGTCGTCTCATGATGTCCAGAGTGCTTCTTTTCACCGTCTTTGCTCAAACCCTGAGCATCAGGTTCAAGTGGCGCCGCGTCTCGCAGAGACTGACGTGGTTTCTTATCTGTCTCAGTACTGACATCTCTAACATCCAAATCCTTCTTACTCAAAACTCGTTCCGCTTCAGGTTTTCCATCTCTTCTTGACCTCTTGGGACTAAAAGACAAAACGTAAATGATCAATTTGAGGAACTATAATAAAAGGAACATAAGCTCTAGTAAGAGTAATTTCCGAAGAGCTGGCTAGAGAACTACTAAGAGTTCTCCACCATAATTCTTAAGACTACCAAAATCAAGTATTGAGTTGAAGAATACAATTATGCGTTTCTGTAATGTCCTCGACTCTAAACAACTGACCATCTTCTGCAGAAATTCTCCATGAATGTGAACAATTAGATCACAGGAAGATTCAAAATTAACCCAACTTCTTTCTAATTTCAGCCCAACACTAAAAACCATAACTAGACAAGCATATATTTCCGCAGCAATCCTCCTGCATTTCAATTTTCTGGACAAAAAAAGACGCAAGATTCCTCCTTGTTACAAACGGAATTTCACATACTCCAACGCGGAATCTCGAACGAGAGAGACGAACAAAGAGTTTGAATCACCAGAAGAAGCAAAATCGGAGAAGCTGAGTGTAAAGAGTAGTAGTAGTAGAGAAGCGGACCTGGGTTCGCGATCGAGTCTAGAACGTTGTCGTTTAGGGTCTGAATCTCTACTCTCTCGCCTCGACATGTTTCTCGATGAGATTTTTAGGGCTTTACTCTTTCTCTTTCCTCGCCTGCAACATTTTATCTAATTGCCCCCCAAATCAGAGTTTATCATTTCCTCTAAATTATAGTTTCCCCCTAATATTTCTTTAAGTATCAGAAAAGCCCCCCGTAAGTTTGAATTGCGCACAAGAACCAATTCACATTGTTAATTTAAACCGGAACTTTCGGTTCTCCGATCCAATCTTTTGTCTAACCGATTGAATTAATCTGATGAGAGATATGTCAACCAATCAGGCGCAAACAAACAAGACTTTAAATGCATAACCTATATTTATACATTTTGTAAAGGTATCAACATAGTAACAAAGAAGGAAATTAAGTAAAATTTTACATGGCAATTTCTGCTGCAAATAGTGAAGGACAGAAATAAAAAAGATTTCAAGAGTAAGAAAAAAAATATCGTTAGTTATAAAGATTTGACAAGTGACCTTTTTCTTTTTTTTTTTGGGGGGTGACTGCAAGTGACATTAATCTCCAAATATGTATGTTTGGTCAAGTCATTCAAGCAAGCGCTTGTGCTTACACCACCCGATGGCACCAACGTAGATGAATATACTTCCCAGAGAAGCTCCTACCACCGTCCAAATGAATCTTCCTGGATCAGCTTTTTCATTGTCCTCGAACAGACCTATGTGAATGTTCATACCGAATACTCCAGCAACAGCGATAAAGGCGTTTATCACCAGAGTCGCCGTTGTTAGCATCACGCCCATTTGCAGAAGATGATTCTGTTTGTCATCCAGCATTATGTTGATGTAATCCTCTGTGTCATCCACGTATTCCCTTAGCTTTTTTTGTTTTTCCATCCAAAAACAACGCAAGCACAATGGATCAGAAGGTCATTGCCAACGAGAAGACAAGTGATTTTACTACTTTTCTGATGAGTACAAAATGCGCAAGCAAAGCATGTGTGTGTATTACTTACTGTTGATAGTTTGTTCAGTACACCATCAATCTGCACAAAATATGCCTCCAAGAGCATCTCCAGTTCTTCAACATCGAATTTGTTGATCATGGTGCTACCGGTTGAGCTTGTATGAGTCCCACGGCTATTTCTGCTAAGTGCGCTATGAGCACTCATAAGAAGATCGTGAACATCATCTGCTCGAAGATGGCTCTCATCATCTCTGTCAGCGTCCGATGCGAAGTCGGGTTGAAGCCTGAAAGGTGATGGTAAAAAGGAAGATGTTAAACTTATAGCAGAAGAAGAACCGAAGATAGAGTCTGTTCAGAAAGTCTGGTACATGCCTGTCATCCTCATCTACTTCAGGAAGATCAATCTCGACGGTATCACTCTCATTCATAGAGGAATTTGATGAATTCTCAAGTTTCTGAGCTAACTTCTCTGTAAGATACATCTCAGCCATATCTTCATCATCGTCAAGCAGATGCTCTAGTTCATCCCTTACCTACAAATTGTATATATATACAAGTGAAGATAAAGAAAGATTTTAAGTATAGGCAAACATGGTTAGAGTATGGTGATTTCTTAGGTTTACAACTTAGAGGAGCACGACTTATCCTAATCATAATATCAAAATAGTAATGGAAAGTCTAAGACAAAACACCTTCTGAACACGTCCAGTTATTGCAACCAGCCTGCTCTTAATCTGTCGAACCCGCTCCAAGTTGAGGGTACTGATCTTGGAAGTAAGCTTGTCCAAGGCTGGATGAGCCTCTGACTCCAATCTTACAGCCTACACTAACGAAGAATGAATGAAATACCACACACAAGAGAAGCAATGCTCTGTGTATTAAAGTCTTAACAAAAGTATTTACCTCACTTTCCAAACTGCTGGATGCAGCTTCAAGACATGCTTCCAGTGCAACAAACTCAAACGGAAGAAGCTTTGATCCATCTTGATTATCAAGGCTTTGCTTCGCATCTTTCTTGGCTTCACTCCCTTGATCCCCAAATAATTGTAGCGTTCCAGCTTCTCCTTGGGCAGGATCAATATTTGTACGGGTCTCTCCCTCAGAGTTCTCTTCTTCCTTTTAAACAAGGCACACAAAGAAACAGAGAGTGATTAGTAGCTAAACTTGACAATCATCATCTTCACAGAACACCACCATTGCAGAAATCAAACAGTCAACCATATCTCAACACGACTATCATATAAAAATTCCATTGTCAAGTGTCAAGCCAATATATATACACAAACTCCCTGTTTAACGACAATCCTCAATTTCGATCTCCTAAACAGTGAAAATTTTGCATACGTTTCCAAATCATCTGCTCCAATAACCACACTAAAAGAGTTCCAAAATTCCTCTAAACGAACAGTCAAAAGAAACCCCAGATTCTACAAATACCTGACGTTTAGTGGCGCGATGGTGACCCAGAATCCGCCTCTGCAACTCTTCAATGAACGGTGAAACCGAAGGATCCTTGGAGTTAAGCAGCAAAACCTCTTGCGCGGTGATGATTGCCTTAATATGCTCCAAATTGATGACAATCGCTCTCTCTCGACCCAGAACAGCAGATGGATACGACAACAGTGGATCGAGAATCCGAAGATCTCGCGCCGGTAATCCCGTTCGCCGCATGATCGTGTGTTTTCCGGCTTCCGTCATCTGCGCCTGACCCGACGAGTAAAGAACCAACCACGGCCTCACGCCCACGCTTTTTTTCCTTCCGCCGCCGCCAACACCGGCGGGGTAAATCGGTGTCGGCTGCCCAAAGTTTGGCGTTGCCGGATTCGTGTCGAACTCTTCGAGTCTAACCCCTCTCATGGTGATCGGAGATTGAGCAGCTCGCTATGTGTGAAGTCCGATCATTTCAATGATCATCTCAGTGAAATTGGGGTAAAATTGGGTAATTTATAAGCGGCTCGATATGGAAAAGTCAAAATAGGTTAAGCCAAACCGGTTTTAAATTTCCCACGCAAAATTAAACCGGATTTAGGTGTTTCCACCAAAACCAAACTGGTTTTAGCTTCTTCTTTCGATTGTTTTTTTTTTTTTGGGTAGAATTTGCTTTTTGCAGCGAAGGAGGCTGAGAATTTGGTTCTTTGAAGTTTATTAGGGCTTTAAGATCGGCGAGAGGACTTTTAACCGGCGACGGCGGAATTAGGGTTTTGAAAGAAGATCGATGAAGTTGCGGTCGGTGTTTGACGCTTCGGAAATCAAATCGGAATTCGAATCGGCGGGAATAAACCCTAATTTCGTGATTCCAATCTGGAAGTATGTAATTCAGAATCCTGATTGCGTTTGGGATGAGATTCCTTCACTGCCATCTTCTGCTTACTCTCTTCTCCACTCAAAGTTCAAGACTCTCACTTCGTCTCTTCACTCGCTCTTCCATTCCTCTGATGGCACCACCTCCAAACTCCTCATCAAGCTCCAGGTTTGCCTCCACTCTCTCTCTCTGTTTCGTTGACTGATTCTTTGTAAATACAAGTGTACAAGAAGTACCTCATTCTTTAGAGAACATAGGAGATTTGGCTGTTGAAAGGCTAATTTGTGATTGTGGTTACAACATATTGCTTTATGGATTCTGAGAACTCGTAACAGCATGTCTCTGTTATATGATGAACTCATTTTTGATTCTTGCTTCTGGTTTTGAAATTTAAGAACGGAGCTTTTGTGGAAGCTGTGATAATGCGATACGATACTCGGTTGGGGATGTGTGGAGGGAAACCACGTCCAGGAGGTGTAAGATCTACGTTATGCATTTCATCCCAGGTATTGGTTTTTATTACGCCGTGGCTTCTCGGTTCATTGAATCACTGTGCAGTGATAAGCGCATCTGATAAAAGTATTTATCGATAGGTTGGTTGCAAAATGGGTTGCACATTCTGTGCAACTGGGAGCATGGGATTCAAAAGCAATTTAACATCTGGAGAAATTGTGGAGCAGCTCGTTCATGCCTCTCGCCTAGCTGATATACGTAACATCGTTTTCATGGTATATTGCTTCTGTTAATGCATTTCATATATAGAAAGTTCTTTTTCGGCTCTTTTTTGTACACTCAGTTGTGTCTCTTTTTCTATACTCAATGTGCACCTTGCCTTGTGGTTATTTTATAGCTTCTACATTGATGAAGTTTATTCACCAGTTGTTGCCTTGGTTTGATGATTGTGATCAGGGAATGGGAGAACCTTTAAATAACTACAATGCTGTTGTTGAAGCTGTCCGCGTCATGTTAAAACAGCCATTTCAGCTGTCACCCAAAAGAATTACCATATCAACTGTAAGTACTAAGAAAGCTACCTCGAAACATGCGTAAACCAGAGAAAATGAGTCATTTGGCAGTAATTATCCTTAAGACTTGGCGAGGGTATTGGTAAAAAATTTCAACCCAATAACCCTTGCAGTTTGCAGCTTCCAAAACATCTTTGGGCTTTCATAGTTTTGTTGGTTACTCTTAAATTTTGCAGGGGACAGTTCGGAATTATGTTTATGATTTTCATTTTCTCGACTAACCCATGTTCTAATTTCGTTTGCATATAGGTTGGAGTTGTTCACGCCATTAACAAGCTTCACAATGATCTACCAGGTGTAAGTTTAGCAGTATCTCTTCATGCACCAGTTCAAGAAATTCGCTGCCAGATCATGCCAGCAGCTAGAGCCTTTCCTCTTCAAAAGCTGATGGATGCACTTCAAGCTTTCCAGAAGAACAGGTAGCTCCTAATGGCTCTTTGCTACTAAATGTTAAAACCATAACTCCTGAAGTTATTAAAGATCATAACATAGTGCTACATTTTCCTTGGATTTAAGCAGTCATCAAAAGATCTTCATTGAGTACATCATGCTTGATGGAGTAAATGATCAAGAGGAGAACGCTCATCAACTCGGCGAATTGTTAAAGACATTTCAAGTGGTAAAATCTTTGATTTCTTAGTACTCTAAAAGATTCTGCAATTATCTGATGATATTTGTGATGGAAACTGTCTTTTTCTTAAAACAGGTGATAAATTTGATACCATTCAACCCAATTGGGTCCACAAGCCAATTCAAAACCAGCACAAAACGAAGCGTATCGAGTTTCCAGAAAATCCTGCGCGAAACCTACAAAATCCGAACCACAATTCGCAAAGAAATGGGTCAGGATATTAGCGGCGCTTGCGGTCAGCTAGTCGTAAACCAACCAGACAACAAGAGAACACCCGAACCACTTAGAGACATTGAAGATCTGCATCTCTAGCTTTAGGACCAGATACATGAAACAGACATCTGAAATTTCCTGAAGAGACAAAAGATAAATGGTTTGTATTATCTTCAAAGTTACTCTCCAAATCCCTTTTCTTAAACTTCACATTTTGTGCTCATCATTCTGTGGAAAACACTTGGCTCACTCTTGCAAGTAAGAAGAAAAAGAGATGGTCCTTACTCCTTACAAACTTAAGCACATGGAGATATTACTTCACTTCTAAAATATTATTCACCATCTTATATATCATCATCATTATACAAAGTAAATATTTAACTTCTCTTCCCGCCTATAAAAACTCCATACTCTGTCTTCATTTCCATAGACAAAAACAAAACAGAGAAACATGAGTGTAAGTAGATTTGTGAATGTCTCTCTGCTAATAGCAGCTTTAGTTTCATCACTGTGCGAGTGTCAGAAGAATTTTGCCTGCGATAGAAATGCCCCTGCGACCGCTAAGTACAGTTTTTGCAACGTCTCGTTGTCGTACGAAGCACGTGCTAAAGATTTGGTCTCACGTCTCTCCCTCAAGGAAAAAGTCCAGCAACTCGTAAACCAAGCCACCGGAGTTCCAAGGCTCGGTGTTCCTCCCTACGAGTGGTGGTCCGAAGCTCTTCACGGAGTCTCCGACGTCGGACCAGGGGTAAAAACGTCACAACAATACATACATATGAATGTGGAAATATACATGAGTTGTTTTGTAATGAAACACTAACGTTTTGACCTGTTCTAAGGTACGTTTCAACGGGACGGTGCCCGGAGCGACGAGTTTCCCGGCGGTTATATTAACGGCGGCGAGCTTTAACACATCGTTATGGCTAAAAATGGGAGAAGTGGTTTCGACGGAGGCTCGAGCGATGCACAACGTAGGACTCGCTGGTCTCACGTATTGGAGCCCTAACGTTAACGTTTTCAGAGATCCAAGGTGGGGTCGTGGCCAAGAGACTCCAGGAGAGGATCCTCTCGTTGTTTCGAAATACGCCGTGAATTACGTTAGGGGATTTCAAGACGTTCACGACGGCGCCGGAAAATCACGGCGGCTTAAAGTGTCGAGCTGCTGCAAGCATTACACTGCTTACGATCTTGATAACTGGAAAGGCATTGATAGATTCCACTTCGACGCCAAGGTAAATTGTTTAAAAACTCAAACACAAAAAAAGAAGAATCAGACCTTTACAAAATTGATGGATTCTTGATGTTTTTTCTTTTTTGGTGAAGGTGACGGAACAAGACTTGGAAGACACGTATCAGCCTCCATTCAAGAGCTGTGTAGAAGAAGGAGATGTGAGCAGTGTAATGTGTTCTTACAACAGAGTTAATGGCATCCCAACTTGTGCTGACCCTGATCTTCTTCGCGGTGTTATCCGAGGACAATGGCGTCTCGACGGGTCAGTATTTGTTTCTTACCCTTTTACAAGAACCGGTTTGGGCTCGAGATCAAGTTATTAAAAAGTTGATTCGTCAAATCTTTCTTTGTGGCAGGTACATTGTTTCGGATTGTGATTCAATCGAGGTTTATTTCGACGCCATTAATTACACAAAGACACGTGAAGACGCAGTTGCTCTCGCTCTCAAAGCAGGCAAAAATCTTTATATGATGATCTCAAAATCATTATACATTTGCATATTTGAAAAGTAAGATCTGTTTTTCTTTTTCTGAAACAGGTTTAAACATGAACTGTGGAGATTTTCTTGGTAAGTACACAGAGAATGCAGTGAAGCAAAAGAAACTGAACGGATCAGAGGTTGATGAAGCGCTGATTTACAATTACATTGTTCTCATGAGGCTCGGATTCTTCGATGGCGATCCCAAGAAGCTTCCTTTTGGCGATCTTGGACCGTCTGATGTTTGCAGTCAAGATCATCAAATGCTTGCGTTAGAAGCAGCAAAGCAGGGGATTGTGCTGCTTGAGAACAGAGGAGATCTACCGCTATTGAAAACCGCGGCTAAAAAACTAGCGGTTATAGGGCCAAATGCAAATGCTACAAAGGTAATGATTAGTAACTACGCGGGTGTGCCTTGTAAGTACACAAGCCCTTTACAAGGACTGCAAAAGTATGTACCCAAAGGGGTTGTTTACGAGCCGGGGTGTAAAGATGTCAAATGCGGTGATCAAACGCTGATCGCAGCAGCGGTCAAAGCGGCTTCAAAGGCTGATGTAGCGGTTTTGGTGGTTGGATTGGATCAGACGGTAGAGGCTGAGGGTCTTGACCGGGTTAACCTTACCCTTCCGGGTTATCAAGAAAAGCTGGTGAGAGATGTGGCCAATGCTGCAAAGAAAACCGTTGTTTTGGTCATAATGGCCGCGGGACCTATCGATATCTCATTCGCCAAGAATCTGACCAAGATTCGAGCGGTTTTATGGGTCGGATACCCTGGTGAAGCTGGAGGAGACGCTATAGCTCAAGTCATCTTTGGTGACTACAATCCTTGTAAGCCTCTTACTTAAAACCTAAACCTAACTGAACCCTAGACACAATTACTAACTTCTTTGTGTGTTTGTTGTTGCTTCAGCTGGGAGATTACCGGAGACATGGTACTCGCAAGAGTTTGCGGATAAGGTTGCAATGACGGACATGAACATAAGACCTAATTCAACCTCTGGTTTCCCTGGAAGATCTTACAGATTCTACACAGGAAAACCGGTATACAAATTCGGATACGGACTAAGTTACTCATCTTTCTCTACTTTCATTCTCTCAGCTCCATCAATCATACACATCAAAACCAATCCAATCTTGAACCTAAACAAGACAACTTCTGTTGATATCTCCACCATTCATTGCCACGAACTCAAGATCCGGATGGTTATCGGGGTCAAAAACCGCAGTTTAAGGTCCGGGAGCCACGTGGTACTCGTGTTCTGGATACCGCCGGAGTCTTCAAAGTCTCTGGTGGGTAGTGGCGTGCCACAGACGCAACTGGTAGGGTTTGAGAGAGTAGAAGTTGGAAGAAGCATGACAAAGAAAGTTACCGTTGAGTTTGATGTCTGCAAAGCACTTAGCCTAGTGGATACTAAGGGTAAAAGGAAACTAATCACTGGACAACACAAGCTTGTTATTGGAGCTAACAATGATCATCAAATCTATCATCATCTCAACGTTAGATTGGCTGGAGATTCAACTGTTTCTTTCTGATTAKAAAAAAAAAAAAACAGAGCCCATTGTTTCTATTAAAGTTGTTATTTTCAAAAGTCAATACTGTAATGCTATAAAACCTAAATAAAAATTTGGTATAATACCACAAAGAGAGTAAATAATGATCCAAAATACTTGAACCAACAATAGTGGTCAATTCAAGTTTCACACAAACACAAATTTGATTTCTCTTCTTATGCCACATGATGATATAAATATTATTAGGTTTGTGTAAGATTTTTTTAACACAGAGAATTTCAAATGGAGGGGTTAATTCCATATCTGATTCATGCAATCAAGAAAGATCATAAGCCTCATCAACATCAAATGTATCGATCGATGTCTGTTGGATCAAGCCATAGTTATCGACCATTAATGATGGGACAAGAGGGTTCTTCTTCATTACAAGGATCTTCTCACCGTCGAACTAGATCAGAGTACAAGCCACCTGTAATAGTGGACATGTTTGATCAAAGATCATCAGGTTTTGGTTCAGATTTTGGGAATAAAGATTCTTCTTCTTCTCAGAAAATAGCAACAAAGCCTTGACTTGTTGTAAAATTATATATGATTGTTTCTAATTCTATGTATTTAATCTGATTGTAACAAGATTCAGATACCAGTCAGAGAAATTAAATTTGTTTTTTTAATTTATTTACTATATTAATCAAAATACAATAAATCAGTTGTGTTGTTTTTGGGTTAAACTGACTTTGACTGTATCCAAGAATAGTAAAGAGAAGAACTGTAATGACTAATAAACAGAGGAAACAGAGGAGAAAGAGAAATGATCTTTGATTTCTTGGCGCTCAAGGAAGAGAGATCCACGATAGGGTTTTTTATCATTAAAAAACAATTAAGGTTTTCTCAAAAAACCTTTTCTTCAATCTGCACAGAATCAAAACTTAAAATTTTAGAGATTCCACCAATATCTTGTTCTTGTTTGTATGCAAACAGATTGAGAAACATAGCCTTTTATCTTCTTGTTTGTCTCTGTTTCTTCTGATACAAGTCTCAAAAGAATCATCATTGTTGGTGGTAATGTCGGAATTAAAATCAGGTGTTGTCTGCAAGCTTATAGAAGAAATGGGAGTCGGGAAAGTGCGAAGAGACGTCGATCACAGACCGGTTTTGTTGCAGATAAGAAGCATAATCCCTGTGTTAGCATCTGGAGGGTTATGGCCAAACAGAGGTTTCTTCTTGAGAATCTCAGATTCAACACATTCAATGTATGTCTCATTACCGCGAGAAGAGAACGATCTTGTTCTCTACGACAAGTTACAAATCGGACAATTGATATTCGTCGAGAAGCTTGAATTCGCTTATCCAGTTCATATGATCAAAGGCATTAGACCAACTCCAGGTCGAAGGCCTTGCACCGGTGATCCTATCGATCTAATTCCAAAAGAAAGGATCGAGAAGTTCTGTGTCGGTCTATCGGATATGGAGGACAGCTACAAGCACCAAGTTAAGAAGCCAAGAAGAACGAGATGGAGCATTTCAAGCGTCTCTGAGTTAAATTTTACGGATTTGGGCTTGTCGAAAAACTTTTCGAGTGTTATGGAGGAAAAAGATGATACAGCGTCAATGGTTTCGAGTTGCTCTTCGTCTTTATCTTCAGCAGCTAGGAGAAGAAGCTGGATAGGTTTGGGTGATAATACAAGGAGAAGAGAGTCATTAGATCCATCCATGATTAAGAATCATGACCATGACATCAAATTACATATTCCAAGAACTCGAAGTTCTTCTGCTGTAAGTTTTATAGATATGACTCTTCGCAAGAACATCTCCTGCGACATTTTCTGACATTTTGTTTCTTAGATCTTTTCTCCGGCTTCGCCTTCTCCTTCCGTGCGAAGCTGTGGCGCGATAGAGGAGAAGTCAAGTAGTAGAACAAGAAGAGATGGTGTGGTATCTCCAAGATGGGCTAAAAGCTTAAGCTATGGAAGTGGAAGTCCAAAGAGTAAGAGCCTTCTTCCACCTAAAGGCAATACCCTTGAATCCTCAGAATCGATATCGAGGAAAAGAAGCTGGACAGAGACAGAGATTCTCTGGAATTCACTTCCTCCCAAAGTTGTAAATCTTGGAAAGGTAATAATACTAATAGCTTTTGATCAATCAGAAAACTAGGGTTTAAAATCGGTTTGAAAGAGAGTTATCTCGCGAATGTTACAGGAAATTCTGAGACAGAGAGATACGGCTATTCGCGCAGCATCTCAAGCTTTGTTAGAGGCTTCAGCTGCTGAAAGATTGCTCAAATGTCTAAGGTACATAATAACTGACACAAAACTATTATGTACCTTGTTGCTCAAGCAATTCTCTCACTGAAATGATATATTTTAGGTCATACTCAGAGCTTTCGGACAAGAGAAATGAACATCAACATAATCAACAGCCACCAATCGGAGAGTTCTTGAGTTTCCAGGATGAGTTAAGCAAGAGCAGGCTCATAATTCAATCATTATCAACCGAAAAAACAGCGCATTGCAACTCAAACACAGTGAAAACAGGAGATGAGAGACGCGAAAAGGCGACTCAATGGATCAAAACAGCGTTAGCTACGGATCTCAAACCGGTTTCTTTATCTGCAAGTAAGCCTCCGCAGAGTCCTGGGAGAAAAGGTCTTACCCTAATCGCTCAAGAAATCGATAACCGGGAAGCTAAAACATGCGAAAGAGACTCGGGATCGAGAGAGAGGAAAGAGAAGCTAAGCAGAGCAGCAAGAGAACTCAGAAAGTGGACTAAGGAAGAAGGAAGAAGTTGGTGTTTGAGTAGTGTTGAGAAGTATCTAGATGAGATCAATGATGGAGCAAAGTGGAGAGAGATGAGCAGTCAACAAGTAGGAGAAACAATGTATCAGATAAAACGAGTGAGTGAGTGGTTAGACGCCATTGTTAA